ACAGCATTTCACAGCACTTCTCCCCATCCTCTGGCTCTTACATTCTTTTAGCCCCCACTTTTTCATTGTTCCCTGGGCCATGGGAAAGGGTGTTAGTATAGATTTCTCATTTAGGGCTGAACACTCAATAGTCGCTTATTTTAGGAGGATCAGTTATGGGTCTCTTTATTAATGGCTGACCACTGCAGAGAGAAACTTCTCTGACCAAGGTAGATGGCAGCAGTTATTTTTGTGTACAAACACAAATATTTCGAAGGCAGTTTGACAACATGTCCGTTTAGCAAGAACACAGTAGTACTTTCCTCCCTAGGGCCTATGACCTTCCTGAACCATGGGCTTTTGACCAGGTTTATAGTACCAGACATGAATTCCCTCCTGTGGAATAGGCCTCAACTTCACTGCAAAAGTGATTGGTTACCCCCATAATCTTCATGCCACTATTCAGCCAGTGGGCACAGTTTGCCTGGCAGGGTGGTATTGTAGCATACTGGGTTTACATCTGGGTAGCAGCATTGATGTTTTTTCTACCCTAGTGGCCTGCATAACACTTTCAGCACTATGAGAATTAGCCAGTAGGAAGGAAGCTTTCAGGTCAGTTCCATCTTTATTCCTCTATATCCTACAATTAAAGTGTGTTTTGTCTTTAGCAACAGGGTTTTACCATCCATTTAGTTCTGATGGTCAATCAACAGAATTGGAAATAATCTGTATTGTTTTGTTTGGGGGCCTCTGGGGACTCTGACCAATAACGCATAGGGAGGTGGGATAATTGAATTTTGAGGCATAATCCAGGTGTTCCCCCCACCCCCCCATTGGTTATCTCTTTGTCGCTGTGATATAAACACTGACTAAGAGAACTTAGAAAAGGAAGAGTTTGTTTGAGCTTTCGGTTTCAGGGGTATTAGAGTCTGTCATGATGGACAGTGGGCATGGTGGCAGAGGTGGCTGGAACAAAAAGAGGAGTGCGTGCATCTTCAAGCAGGCACAGGAAGCCAAGCATGACTGGAGACCTGGCAAGGCTTAAGAACTCTCTAAGCCCTCTCTCAAGTGCTGCACTCCTTCCAGCATGGCCACACCTTCTATGACTTCTCAAAGTGGCACCACCAACTGGGGACAGAATGTTCAACTATTTGGAGCCTGTGGGGACATTCAAACTACCACACTCCCTCTCTCTGTCCCCTCTTCCTTCCTCTCTTCTTCTCTCCCTCCCTCTCTCACTGCTTTTCCCTCCCCCCTTCCCTGTCCTCTCTCCTTTCTCTCTTCCTCTCTCCCTCTTTCTCCTCCCCTTCTTTGCTGTCCCCCTCTGCTTTTTTCTTCCCTTCCTCCATTTCATTTATTTTCCTTCTTTTTTAATGGCACTTCCAATCTAAACTTTCTGAGTTTTAAAAGTTGTGGATCCTTTCATATGTCTTGACCTTAAGTAAAATGGCTAATAAACAGAATGAAAGGAAGAAAGAAAAGTAGAATCCGTAACATTAATAATCAGTCCTTAAATACATCAAGTGAACTATAGTCAGCCTAATGGCATTTTACATGCTTTCATTATGATGTTTTTGATAGGATAATAACTTATTTTGTCATACTCAAATTAGCATGTATATTATCTAATGATATTTACTTTAGAATAAGATTATTTTATAAAGGAATAATTTTACATTTGTTTCCATTTTAAACCTTCTAGTTTCTAATGAATTATGTTGCTTTTGTGAATGTAATACTAATTTTTGCTTGGTATATTTCCATAAGAAATCTTAAAGTTTGGGCAGGATTGACTGATTACCTTCAGTTCTGTGTAAGGAAGGGTAATGTCCTTTTGAATACTTGGGACTAGTACCATATTCTCTTCAACTTTATGCCTCCTGTAGTACTTGCTATAGATTAGTTGTTCTGAACCAGAAATATTTTTGCCCCAAATAGGGATGTAAGGCAGAGTCTGAGGCTTTTGTGTATTACTTTCTGTATATATTAACATACCAGTTTGATGATTCATTAGGAAAAATTTAGTTCTTTGCTTCAGGATTAAAACAAAATTTTGATAATTATAATTGATTTTAAGTTATTTGTGTTCACTTGCTAGAGTATAATATTAGTAATCAAGTAGTAACCAACAAGAACTCAGTGTTCCCATTTTGTGTATCACGTCTCTTCAAGATTCTCAGCCTCTTGGAATCAATATGGTCCCTTATTCTTTATAGTAGTGACACTTGGAGTGGACATTATCAATCTGGACAAGTTATTTAACCAGAGGTCTAAATCTGTAATTAATCTGGATCTTTATTGTATATTCTACATCTAATTTTTAGAGATTAAGTTTGGGACACTAATTGGAATTAACTAAATCCAACAGCTGGTGCAACAGGCCTTTGATTTCCTGAAGAAAAGCAAGAGTGGCTGCCTCAGTGTGGGTGGAGCAGAGCCAAATCAGAGGAAGAGCTGCTTTCACATGTGCACAGATTTATTTTCAAAAGACTCTGATTTAATTTTACTGCTGATTTAATTTGACTATCTATTGACCTGACTCAGTTTGAACAAAACTGATTTAAAAAGGGAGCTTGAGCCCAGTGTGGTGGCACACACCTTTAATCCCAGCACTTGGATGGCAGAGGCAGGCAGATTTTTGTGAGATGGAGACCAGCCTGGTTTGCATAGTGAGTTCCAGACCAACTGGGGCTACAGGGAGACCCTGTCTCAAAAAGATCCTCCCCTCAAAACAAATAAATAAAAGGGAGAGATTGATTTGCAGTAGTTTTTGTTGTTGTTGTTGTTTTTTGGTTTTTTTTTAAACAGGGTGGGGAGAGGAGTAAGGATTAGAAGGAGGAAGGGAATGGTTTCAGTGCTTTGTAGTCACGCAAACTTTGTCAGAACCTCTTTTCTTCTTAAGTAGTTATTAATGCCACCATTAGCTGGATGATTAAAGAATGGTCCTCTGTGAAGCTCCTTACAGAAGTGTGCTCATCAGAATTTATAGAAACAGTAACGTGGTTGGCTAAGAGGTTCTGCTGTGATGTCCTGAGTGACTTTTAGGACATAGGCTATTTGTTGCTTCATTTCTGTGGTAAGTAGAATGGAATAGGATTCTAGATAGGTTTATCTGCCAAAGAATTTGGGATTTGTAAGTATGATTTTGATATGATTTTTGAGGTTTGACTCTGCTTGGAGCTATCCCTTTGCAGTGATGGTAATCTGGTAGTCAGAAATTGTCTGTTTTAGTGAGCAGGATGTTGCCAGCTTGTGAGGTGAGTGCATAGAGCTCACTCTTGTAAGTGAGCTGGAGACAAAAATATAGAGATTGGGGCATAATAGCTAGATGTTGTATAGTGCTGTCAGAGTACTGGTCAAAACAAGTCTTGTGTTTCAGTGTGATGAATCTACTGAGCTTTCTGATTTTAAAAGACAAAATGGGGGGCTGGAGAGATGGCTTAGTGGTTAAGAGCATTTGTTGCTCTTGCAGAAGACCCAGGTTTGAGTCCCAGCACCCACATAGCAGCTAACAACTGTCTGTAACTCCAGTTCCAGGGGATCCAATGCCCTCTTCTGACCTCTGCAGGCATTGCATGACATATGTGCACTTATATATGCATGCAGGCAATACACTCAATATATATAAAATAAAAATAATAAAATATTAAAAAAAAAGAAAAAATAGGGCTGAGGTGGTGGTGGTGCATGTCTTTAATCCCAGCACTCGATAGGCAGAGCCAGGAGGATCATTGTACATTCAATGCCATCCTGGTCTTCATAGTGAGTTCCGGGCCTGCTAGAGCTATATAGTGAAACTCAGTTTCAAAAAACCAGCCAGCCAATCAACCAACCGAGTAACCACAGACAAAATTAACTCAGAATATTTCGTACCCTTCAGAAAGTTGCTAATGCATGGATACCATTCTTAGCAACACCAAGGTAACAGAGGTTAAGCACTGATGTTACGAGCTCTATAGGATTTCTGACATGGCTCAGCTGGTAAAGGTGCCTGCTACCAAACTTGATGACCTGAGTTCAGCCCCTGAAACCCACAAGATAGAAAGAGAGAACTGATTCCCAAAAGTTGTCCTCTGATTTCCACATGTAGACCATTAAATCTACTCTGCTATCTCAAACAAACAAACAAACAAACAAACAAAGTATTTTAAAAAAAAGCTGATACATTTATAATTACTACTATTTTTTTTGAACTACTGAAAAAACAAAGTCACTTGAGGTTGTGCTTTTTCTTTCTTTTTAAAACCCCATTCTTTGAGAATTCTCCAAGTTTTAGATCCTATTGTTTGATGTTGCCTTTTTTAGGTACCTTGATGGAACTAAGCCAAGGCACATTTATTATTGCACTAGAGTATCTTACGCATTTTCACTTTGGGTAATTTGCTGTTTGAGATGGGAGGAATGTTTTCTTTCCTTCATCTTAAATATGTGGAAGGGCAGGTACAACCATGTGCTGAGAAGGGAGGAATTGGGAATAGAGGACAGATGGTGCTTATGAGCTAGCCTAATGTGAGCACAAACCTTGTCTGCACAGAAAGAAGAGAGTAGGAAGAGAAATGAAGGGATCAAGGGTTGGATTTGGAGAGAGCTACTGGGTTCAGGAGGCTGGCCAAAACTAGAGCTATTGAATTATAGAGTCTATTCTCAAATTCAAACCTCTGAGACTCTGCCTGGGTCCATTTTCTTTTCACTAGAAGAATTAGATAAAAGGGAGGGAGGAACGGTGGGGTCAATTCTAATAAATCAACTCTCTAATTCAGGAAATGATAGATTTATAATGTAACCCTGGAAAAGGTTTCCAGCTGCCAAGCGAGTATGGTGGTACATGACTTTAACCCCAGCACTCAAGAGGCAGAGGCAGGTGGATCTCTGTGAGTTTCAGGCCAGCTGGAGCTACAGGGAGACCCTGTCTCAAAAAGAAAGAAAGAGTCTAGCTGGTGTTGGCTTTTTGCTGCTATTATCTATGGAGAATGTGTGGTCCTGGAATAGCAATTAACAATGTGATTCTCTGTGTTTCTCAGAACCCATCCCCAGCCTTTGATCACTGTGCTTGAACACAGGCCTGACTGTTGGCCAGTGCTGCTTCAGCAGCTGACAGCTTTTTTCCAGCAGTGCCCTGAAAGGTAATGTAGAATAATGTAGAACAGGCCAGAATGGTATGTGCTAATTTTAGAACTAGAGCCTTTTGTTGTTCTTGTTTTAGCTGCTATGACTATAAAGATCTTAAAGAGAAGGAATCTTCTAGAGCTGATTATGACATTCTCTTTTTAAGAGTTAGAGAAAAATGATCTGCTGGGTTTATTTGTTGTTGAAGTATCAAACATGAGAAAAACAATTATTAAATAGTTAATCATTTCCTAGATGTTGGGAAAGTTGACCAGAAATACTCAGTTAACAGTTAAATAATAAACATAGAAGGCATATTCTTCCTAGAAATTGACTAGTGAGTTAATGTAAGTATGAAAAATGTGTTGACTGGGATCTAATTATCCTGTTATGTGGGATCAGATAACCATAAGTGTAAGTTTACCATTATTAAGGCCTCCTGATGGTCTTTAGGACTGCACCACTTTCTTTTTTTCCTTATTATGTGGCACTGATTTCAGTCTCTTATTGTGGCTGTTGCTACTTGCTCCTAACTGTTGTCTCTGTAATCTTGTCCTGTTCACATCCTGTATTAGTTACTTTTCTGTTGCTGTGATAGAAACACATAAGATCAATGGAACTTATAAAAGGAAGAGTTTATTTGAGCTTATGGTTCCAGAGGAATTAGAGTCTGTCATGGTGGGGAGGCATGAAGGCAGATGTGACCAGAACAGAAAGAGGAGCGCTCACATCTTCAATCAGTCACAGGAAGTAGAGAGTGACTGGTGATCCTGCAAGGCTTAACAACTCTCTAAGCCCTCTCTCAGTGATGTGCTTCCTCCAGCATGGCCACACCTTCTAAGACCTCCCAGAACAGTGCCACCAACTGGGGACAAATATGTTCAAATCCTTGGAGCCCATGGGGGACATTCTTATTCAAACCACCACACATCCATTTTATGAAAGTCAATCAAAATGATTTATCAAGAAAGTAAATCTTATTGTATCATATTCTTGCTTAATCTCCACAGCTGTGCCTTTCACATGTGGGCTTTTTTAAAGTGGGCTAAGCATAGCAGTACCCCTTCCCCTTCAGCTTTGTTATATAAACTTTACCTGTTGATATCTTATGGAAGTTTTCTACTGAAGAAGAGAGAAGAAGAAAGAGATAGAGGGAGGAGAAGGACCAGGAAGGTGATGATTTGGTTTTTGAAACCATTTGGAGCTCCATGGTTAAAATATAATGTGTTCTGTTAATGTGACTCTCACTAATTTTGTCTTGTTTTGTCCATCTCATAATTTAACACCTTAGCAATATACTGACTGCTTATAGCTCTGCAGAGAAAGCAATGATACTCCCTTCTTCCCTTCTTTAGCTCATTGATATCCACCTGCTTCTTTTGAATTTTACCTTACTTCCTAAGTTCCATATTTTAAATGTCTATATATTTTCTGCCTAGTCTTTGCATACTTGAAGTTGAACTCTTATGAGTTCCCCAAATAGCATGTTGGTTGTGATTTGTAGCATCATTAAACTTACTACATAATCTTACGTTCTCTACTATTAGTCTTGAAACCTGAAGGGCAATGATTGCATTTCTTTTTTTCTTTTTTGTCCTCTTCTTGGTAAATTTGTAGGTGCCTCATAAATCTTCAGTTTTTGTGAACAAAGCCCATGAATTGCAGGGACTGGGTAGTGGATTGATGAGTGTCTTATAATATAATATAAATATTGTCTATCGCTCCTTGTAATCAAGTGTCATTAAGAAAAATTGAGCAAAGTAGTTTAAAATGACCATCCTCATTCTCACTTTGGATGTTTCTCCTGCATTGGTATGATATTAATAGTTTCTAGATAAACCTTTCTTCAACTCTTTCAGAAACAAACAAAAAACTCAAATAAATTTCTGAGCATACTTAATGAATTTCTTTTGTGTTATTATCTAAAGCCATTTAGAAGTTTTAAATTATTTTATATTTCTTTTCAAAGGATAATTCGTTTCCTTTCTTTGGTAAACTTTTAATTGAATTATTGTATATCTCATACAGAACATCTTAATCATCTTTATACCCCCTTCCCCATTGACAACCTCCCCACTGTACTTTATGCATTCTATCATCTGTGATAAGGCCTACAGAGTCAAGTTGGTGTCCCCAGACTTTCCTCAGTGCATGTTTATCCACTGAGGTCTAGTTAGCCTATCTAGAATCCCTCCTTTTAAGAGGATAAACTCTTTTTCACTCAATAGTAATCAACTGCCAGTAGTTCTTTGGCTAAGATTGGGGCCTGCTGCCCATTTCCACAGTTCCAGGCTGGATTTTTGTGTGTTTGAGTTTACATAGGTCTTGTGTATGCTGACAGCATTGCTGTAGGTTCATATGAGGAGGTCTCAGGAGCCTGTAAGGTTGTTATTTCCATATTGTTGTGCACCTTCTTCCCTGGCTCTTACAGTCTTTCCACCCCCTCTTCCACAGTGGTCCCTGAAGCTTGGTGGGTGAAGTTTAATATAGGAGTCTGTCAGAGGCCCCACACTCTGCAGACTCTCTTATTCTCTACACTTTGACCATTTGTGTTCTTTTATGTTCATGGCCCTCTGTTGCATGAGAAGGTTTGGTTGATGAGACTTGAGAGCTTCATTAGTATTCTCTCTGCCCCTTGTTCCAGTATGTTCTATGAGGTGTACAGGTTCCATTGTAGGTGTATCACTTAGGGTTGGCAATTCACAGACAACCTCTGTGTATGACAAGTTTTATAACTCTGTAATAGACTCTATCTGTTGTAAAAGAAGCCTTTTTTTGATGAGTGGTGACTGGCATACTTGTCTGTAATGTAAGGATCTGTATTTAACACATAGTAAGAAATTGCCTTGAGGTTTTTCCTAAGATCTATGACCTCTCCAGCCATGTGTATGTGGCTGTCTTTACAGTACCACACATGAGTTCCCTCTCATTGCGTGGACTTAAAGTCCAATTAGGTAGCCGTTGATTACCCCCCAAATAAAAGTGCCACTACTGCCCTAATACAGTTTTCTGTGCCAGTCATTGTTGTAGTTATTAGGCCTTAAAACTGGGGTTGGACCATTGGTTGATGTTCTCCCATAGCACCTTGCATAGTGCTCTCCAAAACTATGAGAGCTATCCTTCGGGATAGGTGGCTTCCAGGTCAGTTTCAGCTTCACTGCTCCAAATATGTCCTGTCTTCAGCAATGCAGTCTTACTTTCAAGTTCTGGGAGGCAATCAAGGAATGTGGCAGTAGTCTATGTAAATTTGGGGAGTCTTTTGGACTACTGTGGCCAACAACTCGAAGGGAGGTTTTTTTCTGTCTGGCATTGTTTCTTGTTAAATAGCCTTCAGCTAAACACATGGACTCATGTAGAGATTGTATGTGTAATTTTTCAGTAGGTTTTTGAACTAATAATTCTGTTTTTTTTTTTTTTTGCTGTGTCTCCAGGTCTCTAGTCTCTGTCTCTCTGTCTTCCTCCTTCCCTCCCTCCCTCCTTCTCTCTCCCTTCCGGTCTAACCCCCCCTCTTCCCTCCCCAGTTAAAGTACCCCCATTTTCTCCATTTCACCCTTGATAATACCTGTCTCTAATGGTCATTGGAGCTCATTCTTCCTCTTTACTCCCCATATTTCCTTGTATAACCCCCCCTTTCCCTGCCACTTAAATATTCCCATTTTCCCCATTTTCCTCTTGGTAACAACAGTCTTTTACTCTTCTTCTCTCTCAGGCTCATTCTTTCCTTTTACTTCCCTGATTCCTTTACATTTTCCTGGCTTCTGCAGTTATATCAGGATATATACTCATATACAAGGGTTTGGTGCTAGGATCCACAAATGAGGGAGAACATATGTTGTTTTGTTTTCTGAATCCATGTTAGTTCACTTAGTATAATTGTTTCCTATTCTATCCATTTACCTGCAAATTTCATGATTTCATCTTTACCACTGAGTTGTATCAATGTGCCATATTTTCATTATCTACTCATCAGTTGAGGGACACTTACGTTGCTTCTATCTCTTAGCTATTGTGATAAGAGCAGCAACAAACATGGATGTATAAGTATCTTTGTAGTAGGATGAGTCCTCTGGGTATATGTCAAGGAGTGGTATAACCAGATCATATGGTAGATTCAGTCCCTCATTCTTAGTTTTTTAAAGTGTTCTCCAGACTGCTTTCCATAGTAGTGCATGAGTTTGCATTCCCACTAGCAGCAAATGAGCTTTCTCCATGTCCTCTCAGCATTTGGCATCTTTGGTCCTCCTGATCTTATCCAGTCCGACTGTGGTGAGATTGATCTTAAAGTGATTTTTATCTGCATTTCTCTAATTGCTAAGCATGTTGAGCTCCTTTTAAGGTGTTTCTTAGCCACTTTTATTTCTTCATTTGAGAACTCTGTGTTTTGATCTATAGCCCATCTTTTATTGAGTTATTTTCTTGTTTCTTTGTTTTTTAAGTTATCTCTAAATTCTGGATATTGAACCTGTGTTGGATGTGTAGCAGGTTATGATTTTCTTAACATATTTTTTTCTTCACTTTGTTGATTGTTTCTTTTGTTGTACAGAAGCTTTGTAGCTTAATGAGGTTCCACTTGTTGATTGTTGACCATGATGCCTGAGCAGCTGATCTCCGATTGAGAAATTTCTTTTCTACACGTGTATCTTGTAGGGTACTGCCTACATATATTTCTAGCAGTTTCAGAGTTTCAGGTTTTATCTTGAAGTCTTGATCCATTTGAAATTGACTATTGTGCAGGGTGAAAGGTAAGGATCCAATTTCATTCTTCTGTAGGTGGAGAGCCAGTTTTGCTAGCACCATTTGATGAAGGTGCTGTCTTTCCTCCATTGTGTGTTCTTGGCACCTTTGTCAAATATCAAGTGGCTGAAATTGTACTCATGTTTGCGTTCTGTTGATCTGCATGTCTGTTTTTGTGCCAGTGTCATGGTGTTTTTATTTATAAGTTTTTTATTCAATTTTTGTGTATTCCATACAGAAAATCATCTTTACACCCTCTTCCCCTTTTGGACCCTCCCAGAGC